TACTTCTGATAACTAGAATTTGTCTTTAACGTGGGCCTTTCTTGCGTTAAGAATGTGTTCCACAGGATTCTTTTATATGCAAATTATAACGTTGTTGATCTCAAGTGGTTAATTAAAACTCCAACTATTACACTAGGCTCTGGTGTGTTATCTAAGCCCTCAGGGCCTATGACTTGGATTTATTCTAGCAATACCAGTGTTTGTTGGAGTCACACACACAAAAAAATATGTACTTTTGATATTTGGAATTGTTTGGATGGGCGAGAGAGAACAAAGAATTCCTTTGTAATCATCATCAGTAACTTATTTTGGGCCCTTCTAATGGGCTAAGTGCTGACTATGAACCCAGCCTAAATTTGAGCCTTCAGTAGCTTGAGCTCTTCTGTATCTAAGACATAGTAAATTGGAAGAATTAAGAACTACACCACAGATTTCTCATTTGTCATGTTTTACAACATGCTTTTATATGAGCTACTTTTTTCTAAAAGTGAACTCCATTGTTCATATGATTGGCAGAAGGACCACGAGGGTCACTACCATATGTCTGAACTGAGAAATAGCCATTCCTATAAACCTACAAAAAAACGCTTTGGGATAACAAACATAGGGTCTAGATTATACGGATTATCCATTATTTTCAAAGTCTGGAGGATTTTTGACAAACAATGGACATATTCTATTAAACAGTAGAGAAGTAGAAACTTGACCAAAAACCATTCTAGGGGAAAAACCGGGACCAGTCCCTCCTCCCCGCTTGCCCCCTAGAGATCCGCATTGAAGTCTTGGAGGGGAAGCTTCTATGTTTGTTTGATTTGGGGACAGAGTTGGTGGGGAGTGATAGGAAAGGCATTGAAAGAACTAAATAAGGCAGCAGATGAGTTAGAAGGCTTGTGGGGGAGAGGTTTTCAGACATGTTTCATAAGATTTTAACTATTTTCAATTAATACGCATATAGGTTCTCAATTCAAAAAAGATAATATAAGTTTCCTTTGTCCCATCTCCCAGTCTAGAGGGGGTATTTGGTATAGGTCGAAGTACTTGTGTTTCCTTCCAGAAACCTGTATAAATGTACAAGCATGAGCTTGTGCTTTTACACAAGCAGTGTTGGTTTTCTATGAATAAATATCGACTAGCATTTCCCATTCTTACAGATAGAGAGCTGCCTCCATTCTTTGGGACAACTCCATGCAATCGTATACTGTTGTACACGTGCATTAAGTCATTCACCTTCCACTGATGACTCTGTAGCTTTACAAATAATTCTCCAGTGACTAGCCTTGTGCATACTTGCAAGTATACCTGGAGGATAAAATCAGAAGTAGACTTCTTCAAAGTAGAATTGATATAAAGAGTACATTCACTTAAAATTGAGAGTCCCACACTGTTCTTTAGAGAGAACCCACGGGCAGTGTGCCAACAGGTGTCTGCTTCTTGATCACTGCCATTCTGATAGGTAAGAATGATTCGGTGAAAATTTAATATGCCCATCCCTTAAGGTAAGGTTGAATGTGTTATGTATCTGAGCCATTGTTCATATATTTTTCTCCTTCTTCTGTTGGGGTGCTGGTCTTTCTGACTTGTAGGAGCTCATTCTTCATTATTAAGATAAGTACTTTGCCTCACACTGCAAATAGTTTCCTAGTGTTGCCTTTCTGCCTTCTTTATGGTATTTTTACCATGTAGATATTTTTATTTTTCTGTATCAAAAGTTTGACTTTTATGTTTTATGTGATTCAGGAAAGACTGCCTGCTCTTCATTTGTGTATATAAATTCCATGTTTCCCCAGGACTCTTAGGGTTTTTCCTCTTATGCTTAAGTCTTTAATTTGTCCATCTAGATCTTAGTTTGGCACAAGACAAGGAGCCACCTTGTTTATTTTTTTTAAATGTAGATCACTATCTACATGTCTAAACTTTTTGTGTCTACTATTTTGAAATGCCTCCATCATTATATATAAAATCCCCCATGTATTATATTTTATTTCTAGATTTTTAATCTTTTTGTACCAATACCATGCTGTTTCAATTATTTTGGCTTCATAATATCTCTTAGGGGGCTAATATGTACATCATTCTTGTTTCTCTTAACTTTTCTGGCCATTCCTGCCCCTCCTCCCATATGAACCTTACAGATTTTCAATCTAAAACAGATTCTAACTTTGAACCTACTACAAGTTTAGAGATCCGAAAATATATGAAAGGTTTTGTGCTCTGGTCATCTTCTCGCCCCACTCCATCCCTGGAGAAGGAATGATAGCTTCCATCACATTCTCACTAGTATTAAATGTTTCTCCTCTAAGAACTACTGTTCTAAAGGTGGGAATAGTTCTGACTTTAATTTTAATTTTTTTTCCTTACAATTCCTTTATTTTTTTTTTAAAGATTTTATTTATTTATTTGACAGAGAGAGAGAGATCACAAGTAGTCAGAGAGGCAGGCAGAGAGAGAGGGGGAAGCAGGCTCCCCACTGAGCAGAGAGCCCAATGCGGGGCTCAATCCCAGGATCCTGAGATCATGACCTGAGCTAGAGGCAGAGGCTTAACCCACTGAGCCACCCAGGCACCCCTCTCACAACTCCTTAAAAAAAAAAATAAAGAAAGAAGAAAAGAAAAGATATGAGTCAAAAGTCACTCCTATAGTTATTTTCTTCTGTAATATTACTGAGGTTCTTCCGAGAGATACTCCTAAAATTAATTGTTCTTTCTCTTCCAAGTATTGATTCAATTGCTACTGCTCTGTCACTGTGACTTCTCACACCTGTATTGTAAATATGAGACTTGGTAGCATAATGTCAGGTGGTACACAGGGAGAGAAGGTTGTGTTCTTATGGGGAGATCAAAATGCCTGATAGAAAGCTGTGTCACCGAATCATAGATAGTTTAGCTGTATCTCAAGACAAAGCTAGAGCCATACCTCTTTGCGGTCATTTGGACTTAATTGCGCAGTGCCCTGTGTAATAGGCACAGTGTACCGTATGCTGATCATAAAAGGGCCTACAAAGAACCAAATGTACATAGAGCACATTAAAAAGATGTTCTAAGTCTGACTTGAAGCCAAATGCTAGCCACAGTGAGCATGAAGTATTCTGCCACAAATTTTGCTTGTTATCCTTACCCTAGGCATGCTTTGTTAGAATGATCTAGAGAGCCTAGAGCTTTTTAACACTGTCCAAACAGGTTTTAAAGGAAACTTATCTGCCCCTTGGCAAGCATTCTTCTGTAGCAAGCATGGGAGGGCTCAGCCCAAGATTGGTCTTCCTAGAGCCTACTGGGATCATGTGACCACCCTTCCTGTTGCTGGCCAAACACATTCATCCCTTCAACCTCCCTAAAGGGAGCCTGTGCTCTTGCTTGAGAGGTACCTGATGGCCAGACTGGACAATTTGCTAGGTCTTGGTTGCACATTGCCTTCTGGCCCTCAATCCCAGCCCAGAGCTCATGTTGCCTTTGTGTCAGCTTATGTCCCCTCCCCATAAGTGAACTCTTCGGTGGCCTTCTTTTTCATCCTAATCAAGGGACACTCCTTTCTTCTACCTTTTATATTCCATTTTCTTTGTACCACACACTGTCTTTTATTGCTACATTGTGTTCTCACCCACTTTCTTAACTGCCAGCTCCTGGAAAGTTTGGGGATGTCCAGTGGTGCCCTCCAACACTGACTGACAACCATCACCATCACTGTGAGCGATTATGTCAGGCGAGGATCTCTGGGAGCAGTGCAAAGCTTAAAACCCGAGTTGGAACCGCAGGACAGGGATGAGGGGTGTGTGTTCAAGGGCAGTGGTTTCCAAGCAGTGAAACTGCAGCAGTGGTTGGGATGGGTTTTGTGTGTGCCTAGCCAGTCAGGAAGGCTAACGGCGAGACTCTGTGCTCACACCAAAGTGTGAGGATAGCACCTTGACATTTTATTTCGGCTCTTAACATCTGTCTAGCTCATGTCTGACCCACGTGGATCCACAAGCACCTTGACTTTCTAAAACGGCAGTATTTGTTTTTACACACTAGGATTTCCAGGGATCTGTTGTATTTTATTTTCTGAAACGTATCACTTGGTTGAAAATTACTTCGGTAGCTATGGTTCTAGCAAGTGAAGTGTGAGACGGGATGTTTTTCTCCTAGTACTGAGAGCTCTCTTGATTCTCCTTAGGTAGCCTTGAGGTGTACTAGATTTCAAAATACAGTGAAAACATCGCACTGCCCTGAGGAAGTTTTCCATGTCCCATGGAGGGCCCTCTTTGCTGGCAGAGCTGTTGCACCAGAGAGCTGAGCCACGCCTGTGTTGCCAGGAATCCTGTCATCCAGACAGCTCCCTGGTGTCCCACTCTGGATGCTGGAGGTGCTGGTTACAGCACCGACTGCTCCCATGAGGGAAAAGGACGTGAGGTTCTTGCTAACAAGATAATCCATGCACCTGGTCTAGCAGGACTGATCTGACTTCCTGTCCTCAGTATGGTTGTGGCCCAGAGCTGAATCTTCCTGTCTTCATAGGGTGAAGGAAGTCTTTTCCTGGGACGGGGGCACGGGGTGTGTGTCTTGTGTTCAGGCTGTCGGGGGGTGGTAGCTTAGGTATCAGCCAGTTCAAGATGTAGGTAGGCATGCAAAGGCGGGAGAGGTAATTCTGTAAAGAACAAGAATTAGCCAGACTGCTAGGCCTTCTACTGAGGAATGTGTATAGGTTACTTTGTTTTAGAAATCTGTCTACTTCCTTTCACATGAACCACCCTCTTGCAGACAAAACAATCAAAACAAAGAAGCCGGCCCCACATAAAACAAAATTTTGAAGCAGAGGGTGGGTTTCTTTGTATGTCGTCCTCCCTCCATTCACAAAGCCTCTCCCATCTGTGAGCTGTACCCCTCACAGCAGCACCCAACCATGGGCGCCTGTTGTCACTTTGGGTGGGAAAATGGTCAGAGAGCCTAGAGCATCTGCCCTGAGTCCCTCGGGCTGCTTGGCCGTGTACAAGTGAGTCCTAACTCTGTTTCTCGCCCCCTCACTTGCAGTTTCCCTGCGAGCACGCCCCCCAAGATGGCAGAGGAGAGCAGCAATACCAGGGACTGCATGTCCTTCAGCGTGCTCAACTGGGATCAGGTGAGCCGGCTGCATGAGGTCCTGACCGAGGTCGTCCCCATCCACGGACGAGGCAACTTTCCAACCTTGGAGATAACACTGAAGGACATCGTCCAGACCGTGCGCAGCCGGCTGGAGGAGGCGGGCATCAGAGTGCAGGACGTCCGGCTGAACGGCTCTGCAGCAGGCCATGTCCTGGTCAAAGACAATGGCCTGGGTTGCAAAGACCTGGACCTGATCTTTCACGTGGCTCTTCCCACAGAGGCCGAATTTCAGCTGGTCAGGGACGTGGTGCTGTGCTCCCTTCTGAACTTCCTGCCGGAGGGCGTGAACAAGCTCAAAATCAGCCCAGTCACTCTGAAGGAGGCGTACGTGCAGAAGCTGGTGAAGGTGTGCACGGACACGGACCGCTGGAGCCTGATCTCCCTCTCCAACAAGAACGGCAGGAACGTGGAGCTCAAGTTCGTCGACTCCATCCGGCGCCAGTTTGAGTTCAGCGTGGACTCTTTTCAGATCATTCTGGACTCCCTGCTCTTCTTCTACGACTGCTCCAGCAGCCCCATCTCTGAGCACGTCCACCCCACGGTGATCGGGGAGAGCATGTACGGGGACTTCGAGGAAGCCTTCGACCACCTGCAGAACAGACTGATTGCCACCAAGAACCCCGAAGAGATCAGGGGCGGGGGACTGCTCAAGTACAGCAACCTCCTCGTGCGGGACTTCCGGCCCACAGACCAGGAAGAGATCAAAACTCTCGAGCGTTACATGTGCTCCAGGTTCTTCATCGACTTCCCGGACATCCTCGAACAGCAAAGGAAGCTGGAGACCTACCTTCAAAACCACTTTGCCGAAGAAGAGAGGAGCAAGTATGACTACCTCATGATCCTTCGCAGGGTTGTGAACGAGAGCACCGTGTGCCTCATGGGGCACGAGCGGAGGCAGACCCTGAACCTCATCTCCCTCCTGGCCTTGCGCGTGCTGGCAGAGCAAAACATCATCCCCAACGCCACCAACGTCACCTGTTACTACCAGCCAGCTCCCTACGTCAGTGATGGCAACTTCAACAACTACTACGTGGCCCACCCTCCAGTCACCTACAGTCAGCCGTACCCTACCTGGCTGCCCTGTAGCTAAGCTTGAGACCTGAGGGCTTCCACAGTGGGAACCCCAATAGGGCAAAGGCTCTCAGGGAAGGGAGCCTCCTTCTAGGTGTAGGTGTTTGGCTTTTAAAGGGGAACTCAGCTCTGATTCTGCTCTTTTTTTTCTTTGTGCACCCATTGGAATGGGTCTACAGTCTATCATGAGCCAACCCTGAAGGGACCCGTTATTCCAGTGCCACTTTGGAAAATGCTATAGGAAGGACGACCTCTCCACATCTTTCCAGGATAGACACTAACACGCCATGTCCCCAACACACGCACGGGGAGATTGGAGCTCCGTGCACTAATGGAATCTGGGAGAAAGCTTGGGCAGTGTCTCTTCTCACTCAAGCCTAGAGTAGGCTCTGTTGGCCCTCACGGGATTCTAAGCTGTTCTATGAGAGTTGTGGTTGCAGTCCATTTTCTTGTACCGATTTTAGCCAGGCAGCAAATGGTGGACATGAGAGTGGTCTCGTGACTTCATTTTTGTTCAAGGGACTGAATTGCTTATGTTTATTCCCTGTTAGCAGAGCTGAGGGTTTCTTTCCTGAACAAACCAAAGCTGGTAGCTGGATAATTAAGATCTGGTTGATAGTGGTTTATGGTTTAGATGCTGTGCTCTCACGAGGAATCGTGAGATATTGCTGAGGAAAAAAAAAATGACCTTTGCTTGAAATGTAACTTGAAAACAGAATAAAATGTGGAACATAATGTTAAAGCAGAATTGTGGTGGTGGCGGCGGGGTTGGGGTGGGGGTGATTGTAAATAGGAAACGTGAATGTTCAGTTTTTTTTTTTTTTTTTTTTTTCTTTAAGGAATTCTTATTGAATGACACTTTCCCCCCCTTGCCTTAGCAGCTCATCACTTTAGTTTTGCTTTTCCTAAGACTAAGGATTGTGCTGAGTCTAGAGTCCTAGTAGTAGCCGATGTGAGAGGGTCTTCCCATGTTTTAATTGGAAACCTGTTTTGGTCACATTCCCAGTATGACAAGCTGTTTTTCTGGAGTACCGTGGCTGATTGTTTTTTGTTTGTTTTTATTCTTTCTTCAAAAAATAGTGATTTCTTCTCCAGGCTGTTTTTGGGCTGCAGATGAATTCAGGATTTTCAGTAGAAAGGAATGACCTGTGGAATGACCTGCTGTTGTGGGCAGAGTTCTCTGGCTCACGATTGCTTTAGAATTGAACTCGCTGTCCCTGTGCTGTGTGTGAGGTGGAGGTTTAGGGCTCATTTGGGCTTGGTGTGCACTGGAACTGCCAGGGCTCCTTGAATGATTAATTCTGGGGGATTTGGGAAAGAATGAAGAAAATGGAGAATGGTCTTCCTTATTCTGGTAGACTTGACCGTACTTGTGTCTGTTGTGCACTTTAGAAAGAAAACAGTGTTAATCTCCAGTCCAAAGCAAGCTTGGTAAATGGGAGAGTTCTAGGCTACTGCTTTCCCAGTCATTCAGATAAGGAATTTTTTGTGTTTTGAAACTTTTCTGGGATCTCTTAGGAAGCATCGCTCTAGGACATTGAGGGCACAGGAACTCAGTATGGCCAGCCAGCGTGGTCTATAAAGTGATTTCATCAAATCCATGCTCCTGATTTTTTCCTTTCTTCTGTGGCCAGAAAAACCCCAAGCCCTGAGTGATTGCTTTCCTTTTTCCTTGCCTTACACAATGAAGATACTTTAAAAAAGAAAGGCTTAGCAGAAAACAAGTGGTTTCCCTTATTCTGAAGATGGTATTTTCAGGGTTTTTTTGGGAATGTGAGGTCTTGGTCCTCTTAAAAGCAAATAGGGCGTGACTGAGCCTCAGGGTCCAGCTGGTATCCGTGTTGTGTTACATTAGGTGAATAGAAACCACTTCTGTGTGTAAGTGACCGGCTCCGGTTTGCCTGTGAACCATAGTTACATTTGAATGCTCTGGCTTTGAGTCTAGGCTAGTTCCATACTGAGGGGGTGCCCAGCATGCTTCAGGGTTAAAAGGGGGGAATGAAGAATGAACCCTAACTTTAAAAACTATGTACTCATCCATAACATTAAAAGGCTGCCATTGTGGTTTAAGGGCAACATCTTTGTGCAAAACTGACAGATCTGATTAACCAAAACTTTGAGATGTGATGAAGCCACCAACATAAGCACTTGCTAACAGAAGTCAGTATTGTTCCTACTAGAAGGCTTGAGGATCAGGGTGATGAGGCTCCAGATGAAGATAGAATCAGAACCACATCAAGTAATTAAATTTCCACTTTGCCCTTGGAGTTTTTTCTGGATATATATATATATATATATTTTTTTTTTTTTTGGTTTTTGTTTTTTTTGTTTTTTTCTTTTGCTGTTACTAGTTGTCCTCTGAGGATGAAGGGAAGCCCAGAAATGGTTAGAAATTCCCAGTCAACCCCCTACCCCCCGCACCAGTTCTTTACCACCATTGCACCATGACCATCTTAGTGCAATCTATTCACCTGAAGTTCTTAGCCCCGCCATTTGGGAGTTTGAAAGTAGACACATGTTCTAGAATGTTCTACTACATCAGGGTAAAAAGCTGCACTGACCAAAGCTGAGCTTTTAAAATCTCACCCTGGTCCAGTGGTGTCTCTACCTGCTCTGCAAGGCCTTTGCCGGCCTCAGAATAGATTGGATAACCTTGAATTTCAGGTGTTTGGAAATTCCAGCTGAAACCTGCCTTTCATGCTGCTCACACAAGCACCAGGTCCCCTGAACTGGTACTGAGACCTGTGGTTCCTCTTTTTGTGTGTGTTGAGTAACATGAAACTTGGCAGTGGTCAAGGGCACTAAAGTTCAAGTACAAATTCTAATATAAATCTAAGCAGTCTCATTTGCTTCAGGACTCTGAAGTTCTCTAATGCTTTCTGCAAGTTTGCAGCTTGTTTTCCTGGCCTGCTTCTTGGAATCCATTTGAGCGGCAGTGAGATTAAAACAGTACCGTTTCCCCTCGTGTTGGCAGAAAGGCACAGCCTGAATTCCTGGCCTTAGGCTTCAGTCTCACCCTTACATTTTACTTTGGCAGTAAGACACGATTCCTCACTCAACTTCAGCTCTGAAACTAAACTCTCTATCACAGACACCTTCCAAAGAGGGTTCCTGCTAAGTCCATGCGGGCTGGGGTGCTGCCCACACCTGGGAGCACCTGGCAGCTGGGGAAACTCGGGGAGGAAAGATGCTGGGGCCCTGCTGTGTGCTGACAGATGTGGCTTGGTGTTCGAGTTCTCCCCTCTCTGTCCCCCACCTGATTTTTTTCCCCCAGGGATTTGAGTCACTGCAAGCTGTGTATAAACCCATGTTTTGTGGTGACATACTAATAATCACATCGCATTAATAATCACAGTGCCCCGGATCTGCTTATCCTTCTGCCTCCCTTCGAGCACTAGCTCCTTCCCTTCATGGTAGGTTGGGATTTTAACTAGCACTGCTTTGTTAACTTTGGGAAATGGTGCCACTCGAGAGTGACTTCCTCAGTTTAGGAATACCTTCTTTCTAGTGAACTTGCAAGTACTGCTGCCTGGTTTTGGGATGCTCCTAGATTCTGGGCTCAGATATATTGCTAGTTATCCATCTGTGGGAAGAGACCCTGTAGCTCCCCAGGGCCATGATTTCCTGGGTATCACTCTGAGGCTCTCTCTGAAGGAGAACACTTTGGTTGGATTCTGTAAGGTGAAGGACTCCTGTTTGCCAGGGTTGGAGTCCGATCCTTAATCTGGTAGAGATTAATCTGGCAGAGATCAGGATGTCGCAGCTCATTCTGGAACCTACTGAAGTTTAGCCAATTACTTTCAGAGGACCAAGGGAAGATGGGTTTTAAAAGACCTGGCAACTTTTCAGGATTACTTTTGGAGACTCCTGAAGGTGAGGATCAGGAAAGAAAATGTGTTTTTGTTTTTGTTTTGTTTTGGTGAGTTTTCAATCTTGTTTACCTATCACTTTTTCAAAAATAGTTTAAGTGTAAGCTAAAGAAAATGCTTGGAGGTTTGCCTAGGCTGGTGAGAGTTGGTAAAAATTGTCATGTGTGTTTGTATAGGAAGGTGAGAAGATGGTCCACTAAAGAGGAAGTCGTTAAATAATATGGATATGTGGGCGTTTTAAAACTCAAGTCATCTGGTCTCTACCCCCCCCCAAAGGATTACAAAAAATAGCTGCTTTAGGAAAATTAAGAGTATTTATCCAGTCATTTCCAAATTAATAAAGATGGAAAGTAAGATACTCATTAGACTGAATTGGAAACATTTTGTTATTCTCGATTTGCCTTTGAAATACAAAGTTCTTAGTGATGCCTACAATATGTGAGGCTTCCTCTTTGGTGTGATGTCACTGACCTTCTTATGTGATGAAGGTGAAATCACTTGTCAATGCAAACTGTATTAGAAGTTGATGAAATAAAGCTTTGAGTTTGAGAAATAAAGATATATTAAAAAAAAACCAACCCAAAACCTCGCCTGTTATGGTCATTTCTCCATGTCTCCTCAACAGTGAACTTGTTTTAGGTTTCAGGAAACATGTGTCATGGTGGGGTGGGGGAGGGGTCAGTTAATAACATTCTCAGCCTTAGATATTTCTCTGAGAGATGGTGCTTTCTCGGGGGAAGAGGTGTGTGCTCACCTTAAGGATCGTAATTCCCTTCACATCTGGGCTCTTCTCCAAGGTGCCCGACTGATTTAAACTGAGTTGCATTTATTGACCCCAGTCTCTTGGCTAATGCCTACATCAGGGGTGTAGTCCTGGAATCTACCTTCGCTAGCATCTTGTTTGATTTGGCATTAAACACTAGGTTCTCTTGACCTTGATCTTGGCCCCAAACCCATTTTCAATAAGAGAACCACAATAACTCAGCCTTCCTATATCCAACTGCTACCATGGCTTCTTCATGTTTTAGAAGTATAGAAGTGATTCTGGATCTAAAACTGCTCAGGAAGGTTGGAGGGACTTTTCCTCTTCTCCCTCTGCCATCACAAGAATTGGGATGGAAACTCTTCCATCTTAGGTTTGCCTCCCAGCCCACTGTGGGGTCCTTTCCCTCCTCGGTACCGCGTATTCCTTCTGAAATGCCCCTTGACTTCGGCCTTTTTGGTACTGCCTTCAGCTCCTGCCTGGGCCACTTCCTGAATCTTGTCACTTGTCTCCCCTCTGTTTGTCTTGATCCACCCGAGGGCTCTTTCTAAAACAGACATGCCTCTGCCCCTCGCATGCATTTCAACCTGTTTTAAGACCCTGCGATGCAATGGCACCTGTCGGACTTCAGCACACACACGGAGTCCTGCAGGGCCAGCCCCAGCCTACCTTGGCAGCCCTTTCCGCCTCTGCTGGGCAGGCTTGCTTTCAGCATCGGAGCGCACATTTCATCCCATGTAGCCCAGCACACATTCGGGCCTTTTGGGGCTCTGGACGGAGCTGCCCCACCCCGGGCTTCCCCCGCCCACTGTTTCTGTTGGTGGGCTGACAGGGTTGCATCACTCCTTCCCTGCGATCGCAAACACCTGTCCGTTTCATTCCCCCACTGACTGCCTCCCACACAACTGGAGGCAATCTGGTGCCTCGGATGTTGAACCCGGTGTTTTCATCCCTGGAGGACTTGGCCTGAGGCCGAAGCTACGACAAGGCTGAGTCCTGGGTATGAACCTGTCTGTGTTGTAATGCTACCCTCCAGCGCCAGAAAACGCGGGAGTCCGGGCATCGTCCGGACCAATATTTACACTCAGAGCCCTGTGTGCGGGAAGCGGGGGTGTTCAGTTCCCCGGAATGAGCAGTCATGTCCTGGACACTGTAACACTATTGGTCACCAGCTCTTGACCTCCTGAACACAGTCAGTACCTGCTGCTGCAGTCTTCGCACTCTGCTGTGTTCTTCCTCACTCCCCATCCCCCAGCACCCCCACAGGTCGACCTTCTGGTGTTCTCGTGGAACGTTTCTTGTGTGGCTTCCAAGCGATGGTTGGCTCAGCGCTGGTGTGGTGTTTCCATCACTGCCTTGGACAATGAGTGGGGAATGTTGTTCCCCTCACTTGGGTAGGATAATAACACACTGAGGTGCAATTTGGGGTTAATGTCTATTGGAAGATGCTAGGAGCATTAATGGAGTCCGAGAGGGTTGAGCACACAACCTTTGGGAGAAGCCAAGGCCAAAGCTCCTTTCAGGAGTCTGGGTCTCAGGTAGGTCATTCCTCACCTAGCTCGAGCCGACCCAGCCCACGTGTTTGGGCCATGATGACACCACGGGCCTGTCGACTCCAGGGCTCACTCCTCAAAGCAAATCACCGGCTGCTTTTCACTGTGGGAAGTTTCTTAAAAGTGGTCCCAGAAGAAGGCAGGAGAAGCGAGTCACCTGCCTTCTTTCAGAGGCCCACCTGGGAGGGAGGGAGGAGTCTGGGGCGGGGTGTGTGTGAGGGAGAGGGACCGTGACAGCACAGCGGTGACTCCGCTCTGACTCTCCTAAACCATCTAACTCCATCCACTGCGGGCAGTGTGTGAGCCTTTGGCCTGGGAGTCTGCTGGAAACCAAAACCATGAGAAAACTGAGTGACCGTCGCTCACATTTGGCTTTAGGACTTACCAAGCACACAGTACAGAAATGTCAGCTTGTGGACCTCAAGAACCTGGGAGGGGATCATATTCCCACTTTACAGACAAGGAGCGGGGAGCTCCGAGCACCCTCGAGCGGCCCAAGGAGACCTATGCTGTGAGAGGCAGAGACTGGGCTCCAAGACCTGACTCCCAGGCCCCTGATCTCCCCACTGTTAGGCACCCCGAAGGTGCTCCATAAACTGCCAATCACAGTGCAGATGTGAATTGTGACGCCACCCCCCTCCCAAGGGCCGGAGAGGTGTTGAGTTGCCTGGTAATAGATTGGCTTCCACTCTCACAGGAAAGGAGTCCCGTGGACAGGCCTGCAGCATTTCTCAGACAGCCCTGCCTTTGTCAATGGGGTGGGCAGGAGACTAACTGCAGGCTCGAAAACACATTCAGGGGATATCACGGAGAGCCAGGTCTTGTGCTCAGGGATGGGACGGCTAAGCTTACAGGGGAAAGAAAATGTCACGCACCTGGAA